GGCCCTGGGAGCGGCTTACGTCCCGCTTCTCTCCTTCCGCTTCTCTCTGGCTGCACAAGTGAGTTCCCGGCCGATCATGTCCGCAGTGGACCCAGGAACAGTTATTCCTATGCCTGTGGGGCTGCATTTTCATTCACTAGTATCTTAAGGCAAGTTGTTGGAAATGTGGGCTTTTGTTCTGAGTGTTTAGAAAAGGAGACTAGAGAGCCACTGTGCGGGCTTGTGTAGTGAGGGGGTGACTTGTGGGGTGTCTGCTGTGCCCTCTGGCAGACGAGCTGGTCACGGAGGCCACTGGCCGTCGCTGGTGTGCGCGTACCTTAAGCAACAAAAACTGAGCGGCTCCCTCGTGGAGCAGGCGGTGGCAGGTGGGGGTCGGTCCGTAGCCACTGGGGCCCAGGTTAGTCATCGCAGGCCAGCGCAGCAGTGGTGCCAGGTCACATGGGCAAGGGGTGAGGCTGGAGGCCGGGTGGGAGGGTGCTCCTCTCTGAGCCTCAGCTGGTTCATCTTGAAAATGGGGCGGGGGGGGGCATGGAATGCTGGGCTCCATCCAGAGGGCGTGTGCTCTGTAAAAGCCGTGCTTTGTGACAGGGCTTGTAAAGGGCTGTGCTCCTCGCGAGCTGCTTTCATGTGAAGTGGAGAATCGTAAGCCTTTATAGGCGCTGTTTCCCATGATCCGCAGGCGCCGGGAGAGGCGCCGGGAAAGGCGCCGGGAGCCGCCAGAGTGCCGCCCAGGACGAGCGCGGGGCTCCCGGCCGAACGCACACATCGGCTTCGCGTCTTTACGAGGGCGATGCAGCCTGGGCTGGAAGTGTCCACGCCCCTTTGCAGAGCAGAGCCGTCATCTTTAAACCACATCACGGGGTTGTCACAGTCCAGATGCCATAAGATACTGGCTGAGGACACACAGAAGCCCACAGCCTAAAAGAAATGTGAAGTGTCACGGGAGAAGCTTTAACAAGCTTCCTGCCCGCCACCCCCTCCTTGGACTGGCACCCGCCCCCCTGCCCTGTCTGACAGAGTCTCGCTTCACGGGTCCCTGTGCCATCCAGGAGGGCCGTGACAACATCCACCGGGGCTGCTGGGGCAGTTCTTGCGGGGCCTGGGCTGGATGGAGGCTTCCTGAGCCAGAGGCAGGGCAGGAGCAGTAGGGGACTCGCTGGCAGTCGCAGCATCGCACACGGGCAGTCCTCTCCATCCTCTGAGCAGCAGGAGCAAGTCCCACTCCGGACCCAGGGCACGCTGACCTGCTGCCTCGCCCTGCGTCCCCCCTGCTCTGTACCGGGGCATGTGCCCGCCATGGTCCGTGCATCCTCCCTCAGGGCCGGCTCAGATGGCGGGCTGCACGGGGGCTGCCACTGCTGTGGTCTGTCCTTCCTTCGCTTCCTGGTCATAAGGGACCGGCTCTGCGTGTCGCACACTCGGCAGAGGCGTGTGTCTCGGGTTTGGGGGCACGTGGCTGTGGCAGGTTAGCTTTGACTGGTCTGCCGGGCAGGTGCCTGGGGCTGGGAAGGAGCTTTCCCGAGACCAGGGCTTTGCCTCTGCACCGGGCTCTGCAGGATCGGAGGGTCCACCAGGCCCAGCCAGGGCCTGCCTTTCCCAGGTAGCAGGAGCCCCTGCGCACTCAGAGAAGCCCAGGGCCCCAGAGGGCCGGACGGGGCAGAGGCTGGAGGAGGCCGCCCTGGTGTTGAGCGGAGGCTGTGCGTTTGCGCTGGGAAGTGTGAGCAGCACGAGGAAGACAGCGCGTGCTCGGAGGAGTCAGGGCTGCCCGTGATGCGAGGGGCTCTCTGGCTTCAGAGCCAGGCCTTCGTCCTCTGCGTCACTGACCATGACTCTGCCTGCTCCTCTTCCGGCCACCGGGCAGGCAGCCTAACCCTCTGCACAGCCTGGGTCCCAGAGAAGCAGGGACCGCCCGGAGGGGGCGTGGGGTGCACGGGGAGCCGTGGCGAGGCTGCTGGTGGCCATGGGTGTGAGCGTGTCCGGCGTGCCCTTCTGTGGGCTGATGTGCTGGCAGCGCCTCCGCCTGAGCCTGTGAGATGAGCTCACGCTGGCCGCGTCCTTCGGGATTCGGCGCCCTTTTCTAGCTCAGATGAACCGCCGTGTGTGTCGCCCTTCTCCCAGATGGCCCCGCAGAGGCCTGGCCAGGCAGCCCTTCGCGCACCTCCTCGGCCCGCAGCTCTGGGCACCTAAGGCCGATGGAGGAGGGGCCGCCGCCTGTTGGGGCGGTGTTTGTCCCCCTCGGGGTCAGCTTTGCTCACTGTTATCTGGTAGGAAGGCACGCAGGAGGGAAACGCTGCTCCAGGCTGTCCCGCAGCTTCCCCTTTTCACGCAGAAGCAGGCCCCGTGCATGCAGCCTTCCTTCCTGCCGTCTCCTCCGCCCGGGCCTGCGGGCAGCATGCGAGCATGTCCTGCTGCACCCTCTCCCCGCCCTGGCGACTGAGCAGGGGCTGTCCCTCTTGAGAGCAGCTGCCTCTCCCAGCGTCTGTGTGGCTGTCCTTGGGCCTTCCCGGCCTCGCGCTTCCCTCCTGACCCAGGTCCTCTGTGCTGTCACTTAGAGACTGACCCCCACCCCAGACCCACAGCACGTCCATGTCCCTCCATCTCCCTGGATGCGCAGGAGGCCTGGTGGCGAAGTGCCCACCTCAGACTTGGACTCCTACACACTCTACATCTGCTCGCCCCTCAGAGCCCTGCCCTTCTCACAGGCCAGCCCTGAGTCCTCCACACCTGTCCCTCCTGTGACAGCTTGGGGACACTGCCTCAGCCCCCTCTGTCCAGGCTGCCCCTGAGGGGGGGTTCTGGGTTCATCTCCAGCCCCAGCACATGAGCCGGGGCGGGGCTAAGCAGGGGAGCTGTGGGGCCATCTCGGCCGCATTCCCAGGCCCGCACCCACGGCCCCTGCACCAGGCTCTGCAGCTGGGACAGCCTGGGGGCGGCAGGAGCAGCCTGGGGGGCACGCAGGGCGGTCTGAGCCTAAGTCACCGCCCCAGACGCTTTGAGTCCCATTCGCACCTGTGTATCCGTCAGTGTGGAGGCCAGCCGGGAGGCGGCGCCTGGCCCTGGTGAAGCGGCCTCCTTCCGGGTCTGTTTCTCTCGTCACAGGGGAAGGTGCTGGCGCACCGGGACCTGTTCCCTGGCAGCCTCCTTTGCGGCTGTTCTCTTTTGAGTGTAACACGCGGATTTGGGAGGGACCCAGAAAGTGCGGAAAATGCAAACAAGTTATTAATACACATTGTGCCGGGGATCAGGAAACGTGAGGAATGGTAGGTCTTACTTCATAAAAACGTTCACGTGGCCTAGCAGAAGCCAAGGACCTGGCAACACCTAACCTTCAGTCCCCGAGCTGAGGCTGCCTCTGTGGTGTTCTTGCCGCTGTGGTGTTCTGGAATGATCCAGGGCTTCCGTTGTGAACTGCGCCGCCGGTCAGCCAGGATGTGCTAAGAGCATGCAAACCAGGCTTCCAAGGGCAGTGTGGTCAGAGTTGGACCTGTGGCCAGTCCCAAGGCAGAATGACATGATCTGGGTCCCCTGCCTTTCCCACACACCCCAGGTCAGTGGGTTGTCTGCCTGCACCTCCACCCCCACACCAAGCACTGGCCACCAGGAAAGCACGCTATACCCCACACTCCCCACAGGGCACGCCCGCCCTCCTCTCCCCGGCCAGCCCTTCCCCGTGGCACTGCCTGCTCCGCCCCTGTACACCCGCCGCCTGGGAGAATGAAGCCCGGCCACGTGCTCCTCCGCTGCTTCGCGTCCTGGGTGCTTCCCGCGCAGGAGCTGGGTCAGGCTCCACCCTGCCCCGGTGCGCACCTGCGCATCCGCACGTGTTAGCGGCCGGAGGTGGGTTATGGTAACTACACCTATTCATTTGCAGGTTAAGTGGCCTGTTTCTCGCTCATATGTGACCTGGACGGAGGACAGTGGTTTTATG